CTAAACCTAACGCTAAACCTAACGCTAAACCTACCCTAAACCTACCTAAACCTAACCCTAAACCTAACGCTAAACCTAACGCTAAACCTACCCTAAACCTACCTAAACCTAACCCTAAACCTAACGCTAAACCTAACGCTAAACCTACCCTAAACCTACCTAAACCTAACCCTAAACCTAACTCTAAACCTAACCCTAAACCTAACCCTAACCCTAACCCTAAACCTTACGTTAAGTTAAATTGCGCTTCTGTCGGCGCGCTGTTGTCGGCGCGCTTTTGACATTCGCAGTTATGTCGTGCCACGAGCACATTTATATCCATCCTTTGGTTATCCTGTTAGCTAAGAAACATAGAAAACAGCTACACCTCAATACGAAAATCATCCTGAAAATATCCTTGCTTTGGGAAAAAAAAGTTCTGAAGGCATTTTCCACCATTAAGCTCAATAAGAATGATTGAAGAAAAACAAAGAAATGTTGTTTTTTACCACTGTGACATAGGACAAAATTACGCAAGCATGGTGGGGTATCAAGCTACCAGAAGGGGCCAGAAGAAAATGTAGAAAGGAACATGAGTTACTTCAGATGCCAATGAATGCTGGCTACTTTCTTGAGCAACTAACCCTAAGCTTGTGCTGAACTACACTGTGTAGCTTCCACGACCATTAAGGCTGGAAAATCTTTTGGCTTGAGATAACAGAGTTTATAATCCAGCAAATATAGGATGGGTACTTTTGAAAGCATTTTTTTAAAAAAGAAACTTCTTGTAATATTTCTGGGTGCGTTCAAGAAAACAGTGGAAGCAGCAGGGAAACTTTCCTATAAACATCCCTTTCATTCCTCTAAGAAAATAAGTCTGAAATTGTGATATATGGAGAGGGAGATGAACTTGAGCCTCTATTGCTTCAAACAGGAGGAAGAGGGCAGCGCACCCTAATAAAGCAGGAAAAGAAACGCCCTCCCCCCTCCGGAATTACCCTAATGACAATTGTTATGCTGGAAGGAAGCCTTTCCCAGCAAGGCCTGGGGGTCTCTGCAAGTAGGGAAGAGCGTGAGGGGCGGGTAGGGTGGGGGGAGATCACCAAAGGAAGTCCTGATCAACACAAACAGAACCTTTCTCCAGAAAGGTCTGAGTTTATTTTACAGGGCACTTGCCCACCCAGAAGAGCACACAAACACAATCAAATCAAGATCTTAGCTCCGTCTTTGACCTTCTTCCCTTGCAAGTTACGGAGGGAGGAGGGCCGCTTTATAACACAAACAACAGAGAATTCCTCTGTCTCACGATTACTAAAGAATCTTAAAAGTGTCTAAAGGATGGTTAAAATGACCCCAATGTGATCTTTTGGGCCAAATGTCATTGGGAAAATACTCGGTTCCTTCCGTTTGGATATATTTTCTATCTCAAACTCCACACTTCCACCATACTAATCCTGCTCCTCCACTTTTCTACTAGTGTGGGAGAGGCAGGAAATGACTTAAAAACAAAAACAGGGAACACTGCCTTAGAGGCAGGATTAGGCATTGAATGGAAAATAATTGGGATGGGAGAAAACCCGAAGCAAAAAGGAAGTAACCATGTGTCCATTACATACTTTAAAGGCAGAGGAGGAACCCCAGCTTAGTTAATTGACCTTTGCGCTAAACAAAAATAAAATATAAAATAAATCCAAGGTCTTCGGGAATGAATTCAATCATTTTGGGTGAATTACTTTCTACCAGGTTCACCGTTTGCTTCTTGGGGCTAGAAGAGGTGAAATTTGAGGAAGGTAGCAGATTCCAGCAATTCCATATTTGGTTTTTTTTAAAAAAAATAATAATAATTCTCCAACAGATACAGGGATGAAGGAGGCTGAAAAATGGGCAGAAAGGAGTAAGATCTCTTGACTCAGATGAAGGAACATTCACCCTGATCATACCATTGGAGGTTTTTTTCCTCCCTTATTGTTTTTCACTTTTATTAAAAAAATCAAAGTCAGGAATTGATAGCCTCCCTTTGTGATAGAAGGAGCACTGTACAAAAAAGTCACAATCCTTTAGGTGATCCATGACTGTCATGGCAGAATTTGCTTCTCAGTAAGACGGTAAGAACTTTTTTTTTTCCTTTTAACAACCAATGTTGGTTGTTTTAATTTGTAAAAATACCAAATGCAGTTGTCAGAATAACAGTTGGAAGGGACCTGGAAGGGTCTTCTAATCCAACTTCCTACTCAAGCAGAAGACCCTTTGCCATTTCAGACAAGTGGTTGTCCAATCTTTTCTTTAAAACCTCCTGTGTCAGAGCACCCACGACTTCTGATTCCACTGATTAATCATTCTGTCAGAAAATTTCTCCTCAGGTCTAGGTTAGTTCTCCCTTTGATTAATTTCCATCCATTGCTTCTTCACCTGCTTTCAGCTGCTTTGGAGAATAGTTGAAACCCCCCCCCCCCCTTCTTTGATGGAGCCCCTTAGATATTGGAACATTGCTTACAATTCTAAAACTATGAAACAATTAAAACGTGTTCCCTGAAATTAAGACCTATCCTGAAAATAAGCCCTAGTTAAGACCACGCCCACCCCATCCCACTTGTATGAAGTGAGACAAGGGACATATGTAAAAATCAAGCTAGGGCAGGTTTTGGGGTGGAGCTTCCCCATGCATCCAACACCTCAACACCTCTTGTGCTGCTGCTTGCGGGCACTCACGGCTAGATGCCACATGGTGTATCATGCCTGTGCCATTGCTCAAGGCAGGACGCCATTTGGGATATTGGGCTGGTTCCGCTGCTCACGGCAGGACGCCACATGGTTTGTCGTGATGGTACACTGCTTGCAGGCCACATGGTACACCATTGCTGGTGCCATCACTTACTTGTACATCAGTACACCTGGCACATCATGCTGGTGGCGCCGCTCACTGCAGGTCACGTAAGGCCAGTGCTGCCTCTCATGTTGGGTGGTGACATGGAGCATCTTACCAGTGTCACTGCTTGTACTGGAAATTGCACAATTCACCACACAGCCTCCTGCTGCTTATGGCAGCAGTGGCATGATGTGCCACATGGGCTTCTGCAGTGAGTGGCAGCACTAGCAAGATGTGCCTGCTGCTCACAGCAGCAGTGGCATGACAAACCATGTGGTGTTCTACTATGAGCAGAGACACTTGCGTGAAGCGTCAAGTGGCCTGCTGTTAGTGGCGGCACCAGCGTGATGTGCCATGTGATCTTCTGGAGTGAGTAGCGGCACCAGTGTGATGTGCCACACAGTCTGCCACGAGCCATGGCACAGGCACAATATCTGTTGCCTCCTGCTGTGAAGGGCGGCACTGGTGCAATATTTCATGCAGCTTCCTATTATGAGCAGAGGCACCGGCGTGAAGCACCCCATGGAGTCCAGCAATGAGCGGCTGCATCTACAGAAGCCAAGCTGAGCATGGGGTGTGGGAGGCCTGGCTGCAGCAGTCCTAAGGTAAGAGGATGTGGACCGTAAGTGGTGGCATTGTTCTGACAAGCCATGGTGTCCTGCCGCAAGTGGCTGCACTAGCATGACATGCCACGTGGCCTCCTGCAGTGAGCAACAGCATCGATGTGATATACTTTAAATGTGAACAACCAGCACATTGAATTTCACCAGTGTTTCAGGTCATTAAAAAGGATTTTTCATATCCATTCTGTCTGGATTGTTCAATCATGTTCAATTCTGTATGACCTTTTGCTTTTGATACCGAGTGCAAGTAGAGCCAAGGTGGCGCAGTGGTTAAATGCAGCACTGCAGGCTACTGCTAGATCAGCAGTTCAGCGGTTCAAATCTCACCGGCTCAGGGTTGACTCAGCCTTCCATCCTTCCGAGGTGGGTAAAATGAGGACCCAGATTGTTGGGGGCAATATGCTGACTCTCTGTAAACCGCTTAGAGAGGCCTGAAAGGCCTATGAAGCGGTATATAAGTCTACTGCTATTGCTATTGCAAGTTGTCTTGCATTATCTCTCTACTACTGGCATCAATACTCACACATTATTTCTATAGTGTGAAGTTTAGCAATTCTCCCTTTATTTTCCCTGGAAAAGTTATTTTATAAATGCTACTCTACTTTAATTACCAGATGAATATTTTAAAATGTTTTCCAAAATACTTATCATGTACACGTCTAAAATCTCAAATAGAAAATATTTGTCAGAAAGCTTTATTAAATTGATGGTTGTAGTTTGCACTCAGTTGTAAGGACAACACACCAAATACATAAACAAGTTGGCAAAACTATAAACTAGAGCAAATTACAATGCCTCTTCATGATCATGAGACTGGTTACACAAGCTATCAAACTGAACTGGCCCTTCAATGTTTCAATAGCCATAGCCAACCACATGCCGGACCTTCTAGCCATATGATCTCTGAATTTCCAGAGCAAAACACAACACACACGAGGACGGCAGTGTGAAGGATATTTAGGAACAATGACACTTTTTAAAATGTTATATATCTTAGCTAAGAAAAATCTGTGAGTCTTTTATTGAAACAAATAACTCCCCCACCTACTCAAATACTCTTTAGAAGGCACTCTGTCATCTGAGAAGGCCCATACTGGATTAGCAGTTGTTAGTTACAATATGAACCCCCAAGTTTATTATTATTAGCAAAGTAATACGTTTTTCATAGTAAAATGCATTTCTCCCCCTTAGAAATTAAGTGGGAAGTCTAACAAGGGTGTAAAGGAAAGGATTCAGAGTTAGCGCAATGAAGGGATTTCTGGAAAATGAAAAAAAAACAACTCTAGAAGATAAAAACTATTCCAAAAAAAAAAAGCAATTTCTTTATAATGGCAAGGAATGTTTCTGATTTGCTAATTATAATGAATAATTTTATGAAAAATCAGTATTAGTACATTAAAGTTTTATTTAAAAAAACAAGGCCAGATTGACAATTACACTTTTACTTGAAATTATAGAGGGCCCAAAGGTTACTGTTATTTAGCCAGTTATATTTCTTGTTCTCAAAATTCTCAGCAAGCCTCAGATGATTGGAATCGCATTCATCAGCAAAATGAAAGATGCCTCTAGGCAGTTCATCTTGTCTACTTAAGGGAATGGGAAGCTGGCTTTGTGGGACATGAAAGTATGAACTGAAATAAAGGCTGTACCAAAAAATAGCAGTAATGAAGCTTTGCTGCCATATGGTCTCAACAATTAAGCAATTGATGCTTTAGTAAATAATTGTGTTGAAATTCAGTTTTTGATGAAAAAAGTACTTGTCAAGATTCCACATATTCAAATTATCATGTTCAGTAAGTAAGAAAATAACCCACTTAGTATTAAACTTTTTTTTAAATTTTACCTTTGCTATCTAATAAACACACTATACTACATAAATAACAGATTACTCATGCATGTTAACATGTATAGTAGTGTATAGGTATGTTTATTAATACATATTGAGAAGAGGTATTTGGCAATAATAATATGAACAAAAATCACAGCGCTTTTTTGCAGTTAGGCTTTTATATATCCTTTATACAACTCAGGATATTAATATGCTATTTTATTTAAACCCTCCTTTGACTAATAGGTAAGCTTTAAGAATTGTATAACATCCAATAAATAGTATTTATCATTTATTCACCAGCCATACTATTATCATTTTTGCTTCATTTTCAAAAAAAGCTACATAGATAAAGAGTCAGATTTTCAGAGAAAAGCAGCAGAGATGTCATCATCTAAGCATAGTTAGTGCAAATATCAATCTATTCCCCAAACTATGATATTCTAGTACAGGCCACAACCCATTAGATGAGTTTCCTGGCAGAAAGCCTTCTGAAATAAGAACAATATAATAGTACTACCTGATATTTTTATAGTTCTTTATATTTCAGTGAGGCTTGGACATTGGGTCTCCCAAAACAGGTTGTACCCTAAGGCAGTATAATTCAAAGAAACTATATGACTGAACAAGCATGAAACAAATGAATACTATGATATTTAAGACAAACTTAATCCACTGTGCTGATACTGCCAAATAGCAGCTCACTTCCTTCTCCTTTCTGGCTGAATGAGCAGGCTTATGGATGCAAACTCACATTTTACCTATTCTATTATGGCCAAATAGGAATTAGTTTTAATACAAATCAAGTCTTTTTTCTTTAAAAAAAATACTAACATTGAAAAAGTGTTCATTTACAATTTCTCAGTGATATCAGTGTATAGTCGCAAAGTAAAGTAAGTTTGTTTTAGATACAGTCAACTGCATATCTCACATTCATTCAAAATATTGGATGAATACAAAGTCTCTTCTTAACATCAGTTTAATGAAGGGGATCGATCTGAGGTCCAAAGCAGTTCTATATAGGGCCATTTGGTCTGCAAACAGCGCTTGATTGGTGTATCATCAGTTTGGAGCATTGGGTCTTCAAAGCCCATAATTACTGCTGTGCCTTCAACATACATGACCTGTCAAAATAGAATTATCATATATTTAATCCTATATAAATTTAAATAATAAATCCAGCTGCAAATGAATGTTACCAGAAACAGCCATTTTACACATATAAGATATTTCAAGAGCCAAAGTATTGCTACAATATATTTAGCAAAATTAAAAGATGTTTAGAACTCATTGAATGAGTTCTATTAATCAGAAACAAATTGCTGACCAGCTACATCTTTCAAGTGCGTGCTTTTGAATTTGATTAGCCCCAAGTATCAAAATGGATGCATCTTCTCATCTCATATAGCAATGGAAAACAATCCATGGTATATATGTATATTTTTGCAACTCCTGAAGTACCCAAGAAGCCCTGCCAATTTGGTTCTTCTCATTGTCACTAGTTAGAGCCAACAGGCTATCTCCCCACACACCCCACACCCCATTTTCATATGTACATTGGGGATTATCTGTTGCAATGTTGGCTAAAATCTACTGCTCTCCTTTTCTAAGGAAGTGGCAATCCCAACAATATTACAAGACATTCTCATACCTTTTCATTACAGTTAGACTGCTTCAATCCATTGTAGTGATACACAGCAAATGATTCTTGAACCTTTGGATCCTAAGAAGAAGCATAAGGCAAATCAATCTCAGATCATATACTAACACCATGTTGGAGAGTTCTGTCATTATTTTGCATTTATACAGTTTTTATTGCTTTTTACTACAAAGATAATAATGGGAGCTGGTTCGGTTAGTGATTGAGACATCAGGTTAGGAGAAGGATACAGTGAGTTCTAGTCTTTCCAGCTGGATGACATTGGGCCAAGCACTTTTGCTCAGCCCAACCTCATAGGGCTGGTTTGTGGAAAAAATAGATGGTGTGTTAGATATGTTCATCACTTTGAATTATTTGACAAAATAATAAAGATGGGATATAAACAAACAAACACAGATAGTCCTAGATTTCAAGGACAGTTCTGACCTTTAAGGGCAATCTCACAATTGAGACCAGAATATATATTGTTAAGCAAGGGGCTTGTTAATGAGTTGTGCTCAATTTTATGATCTTTTTTGCCATGGTTGCTAAGCAAATTACTGCAGTTAAGTGAATCATGTATTCATTTAGGAAATTTGGCTTTCCCAATTGACTTGTTAGAAGTCAACTGGAAAGGTTACAAATAGCAATCATATGACCCTGTGACATTGCAACCATTATTAATACATGCTGACTGCCAAGAACCCAAATTGTGTTCACATGATCATGGTAATGCTGTGTTGGTTAGTAAGTGTGAGAACCAGTGGTAGGTCACTCTTTTCAGTGTGGTTGTAACTTTGAATGGTGACTAAATGAATGGTTGTAAGTCAAGGACTACCTGTAAATGTACTTCCAATGATTTATAGTAAATTAAGATTGTAATACTATGACGTTTTCACTGTGGAAGGAAAAAAGAAGATGACCAGCAGTGATGTGTATGACTCAGTGAAAGGACAGTTGAGGGAACCATTGGGAGACTTGAAAGAATAAATCATCATGGCTAAAATCCAGGATTGTCTAGAAATTCATCCAAAGAGCTAAAGAATTACAATAAGTCTCTGCATTAGCACTGGCTCTATTGAGATTTACACAATATTTATGAACAAACGTTCCATCATAGGAACACAGAAATATGGTATTACCTGTTCAGGAAAAAATTCTTGAAGAAAGGGACCTAGTAAGATGATTCCTAGTCCTTCTGGATCTAATTTTGTTTTCATGAGATTTACACTGTTACAATGAAACACACAAAATATGGCACTTTCATATTTTTGCATGACTAAAATACTTTTAAATGCCAAAAACAATTAAATAGTTGTATTTAGAATCTGAATAGCAAATGCAAAGGAATGGCATTTGGTTGCCAAAATAAGGTTATTTATAAATCTATTTAAAATCAAAGCAACAGCAATAATACAGACTCCACACTTTATTAGGCAAAGTTTTTTTAAAAAAAAGATTGCTGTCTAACTTCTGGGATTATACTTGAGAAGACTATACAATTACTGCAAATATTTCACAGCACTAACTCATCAATCGATTTTCCAAATGTCTTGCAGAAGCCAGCCCTGATTTTATTATTTATTAGGATACAGCAAGAAAACTCAATATGCAAACTGTAGCAGCATTAAGCATCTCATCGAGCACACATTTAACACAATCAAGATAGCCTGTTCAAACATTATAATTTGGGTTAAAATGAAACCAAGCCACATTTAGGACCAAGAATCTCCCTTATGTAACTAATATACTTCTGATTTCATAGTTTCAGGCACATGGATAGAACCTATGCCCCTATCCCTTTCTCTCTGTAGACGACATCTGAATTCTGTTCATGAATGTGGTGATACGAAGTTTCATAACCATAAATGGAAATTATCAGTATATGTGTGCTTTTATTTTAAACCCAAGAAAGGCTAAAGCATCTTTCAAAACTAAAATATGAAAAGGACAGATTTTATTGACTTTTAATACTGTATTATAGAAGAAATTCACCTTCCATATTACCAAATCTTATCCCCCCCAAAATATACCATGGTGATTTGATATCATAACTGTAGGCAATTTATACTTACTAATCAGGATCTGATACAAGATCCAGGGCCTTCATTACATCTTCTAGAAGAGGATCTGGTATAAAGCCATTATCTGAAAAAAAAAGTATGTTCCAGCATGTTTTTGATGACTGATTAGCACTGATAAGTATAAGTATAATATTTATTATCATTGTACTTAAATACAACAAAATTGGTTTTAACCTCACTGGTGCAAAACTATAACAGAAATGCAAAAAGAAAGAAAAAGAAAAAAAACTAGCGTGTGCATGGAGTGATTGTGGTTGTATTTAAAAGTCTCCAGCCCAAGGATAGAAACTTTAAAAGATTAAATCTTTAAACCCGTTTGTTTGGCTAGCTATACTTTGATGTCTTCTGCCTGATGGTAGAAGTGCAGAGACACTGACCAGGGTGTGAATCATCTCTGAGTATCTTCCTTAGTCTGCTAAAGCAGCGAGACCTGGCGATGTCATCCAGTGATGTCAGAGGGCAACCAATGGTTTCTTGTGCCAAATTGATCCGTAATTGAACTAGCAAACCAGCTCTGAATCCCCGCTTCTGCTTTCGCTCTCTTCGCCACCTGCTAGGCCTAACAACGATACATGGAGAGCCTGGCAGTCTTACTATGTCACTCGGTATATTATGAGACTGCTGGAAGTCGCTAGTAATATCTAGTCGACTAGAAGATCCAATCTTTAATAACTCCTTGTGGGTATAGACTAGTTTTTGCTTAACTCTACTGTGGCACCAGGAGCTCAAAGCCGCAGCGTCTAAGCGCAGCGCCATCTTGGAGGAAAATACTTTTTTGATACTTTTTGAGTGGGAACAAGTCAACATTTATTCAGATATGGGTGTGAAAGGCAGTTTCATTAAGATGCTCTCATACAGGAAGGTGTCATTTGGGGAAATTTTTTACTTTTCTAGTACTCTAGGCCGGGAAACTATGTCTATTTATTTGTCATAATCACTGGCGTAACACCTTGAAATGATGGAGCTTTTTAGCCTAAAACCATAAATTGACATCTATGTATTCATAGATGCAGAGAATCAGGAATAGTTGAATGCAGCTGAAGGATACAGAGTTCTACTGGGTCCTGTAAAAGTGGAGACCACCTAAATTGGGGTACTTCTTACATGCCTCTCCTCTGATCTCCCTGTTGTCCAAACATTTTGCTCTGCTCTACCAATTATGGATGTTCCTGCCTTCCTTCCTGACCAAGCAATCAACAGATGAAAAGCAGGGCAGGATGTATGAATGATAATGGCAGATGATAACTATCATTGAAGCTACACTGTCTTCCTGTAATTTTGGTGCCCATATTCCACTGTACAGCCTCTGTCCAAGGCTTGCTAGCTTATCCAGAATGTCAAAATCAAATACTTTGATTTTGAACTTTCACAAAGTTTCTGACAAAATGTTTACATGGTTCTCTTGAGTAAGCTTAGTAGCTGTGAGTCAATCCACCTCACAGATGAGTAACAAATTAAAGGTCAGTAAACTGGAATAAATGGGCACTGTGACATTACTGAGGTAAAAAAGATTACCAGGGCAACTACTGTTTCCTTGTTCTGTTATTTATTCTAAAATGAGGCAATTTCTATAGCAAAAAGTACAGGGATTCAGTAAAATAGACTTTCGAAATTAAAACAGTAAATTTATTTTATTTACTTAATATTTTAGTTCACATTCTGTAGCTATGCAAGAATCTGTCTGCATTGTTAATCTATAGCTATGCGGGGGGAAGACAAACCTGGTGTTCCTTCCCCTGCCCTGATCTCAGTTCCACAGCAGCAATTACTTAACATGGTAAGTTATATTTAAGGCCTGGATAAATAGTAGCCAATAACACAGAAAATATGGCTATAACATTAAAAAAAATTCCAGGCATTTTATATTACCTGTGAGAGATAACTTTACCGATGACATTTATTTCATTTTCACTTCAACCAATATATGTAGGAAGAAACTCAGGCTTATCTTCCTGATAGGCAACTGAAATGGCCTCTAGATTACTTACCCTCAGGGTCATATGTTTGAAACACGCGCCTGGCCTGCTCTGAAGGCGCTTCAGGAGCAACAAGACCCACATCCTGGGGGGAAAAATCCATAAAATTTAATTGAATCTCACTGTTGTAGCTATAAGGAAAATGTTTTATAAAGGAAACATAACTTTCTAGGAGAAACCATTAGAAAAAGTCTGACAAATCTGTGTTTTTACCTCAAAAATATAGCATGAGATCTTTACATAAACGATCTAGATTTAGATAGAAAGGAACTTTAGAATTGAAAGATCATTCAGCTACTACACCAAACAGTGCTTGAAGAAACTTCAAAAAAAATATTCTATAGCCTCCTATACCTATAAACATACTGAAAAATAGCAAGCAAATGCGGTTTTGCTTGCTGTTTATATACAGCAGCTTGCCCTGCTTGTGTTGATGGCAATGTGTCTTCTTCCTACATAGCTCTCTGATTAGGTATTATTTCTGCCCTGATTTCTTCCCTGATGCTCTGAGAGAAATATTTCCATTGGATATTAAAACTCTTGCTATAACACAAGTGAAAGAATTAGCTTTACAAAATTTCTCTCTCACTATATTTGTTACATAAAATTTTTGTTCTCCATCATTATAATTGAATAAAGCATAATTTTTATTGCAAAGTACTGAAAAGCAAACTATTCATTCACTCTAAGCAACAGTAATATTTATTGACATGTAAACTTTCCCCATATGTATTTACTTTATTTTCCAAATCTCCTGCCAAACATAAGCACCCAGGTTATGCGTATTATCAAAATGCATCCTAAATTCTTTATTTTTCAAGGAAGAAATCTTATTTGTTGTTTTCCAAATTATTTTCAAAGCATACCATAACACAAAGATAGGACATATAGTGTTTCATTCTTTAAATCATATTATTATTCTTACTGTCCATTTTGCTGCCATTTAAATCTAGTTTTCCTTGATAATATAGGTTTATTTTAGGAACTCATGTTTACCCTGGAAGGCAAACACACATAGTCCATTAGTATATTTTAATGAGCATTTTTCAGCTGTTTTCATTCTTACAAATCAAAAACAGCACACACAAACCCTACAGCAACAGAACTGCTGATAGAATTTCCTGGATTCTGTTTTAACAAACCATTTTTAAAAAAACTTCCTAAATTCTGTTAATCTAAAAATAGGATGAAGCTATACACATTTACTATACAGTACTCATCAGAAAACCATTTCATATACGCTATACAGGTGTTAATCCTTTTTGGAGAAGATACTATTCAGCCCAGGAAAAACAAAATGTTTAAAATTCTGTTAATAGCTTTTAGTGCTTAGTGCTATAATTAATTCAGGTTAGTATGGGCAAGATAGGAGAATAGTGACAGAAATGTGTTCAAAAAGTTCTATACAGCTTGAAAGCTTTTCAAATATCTCTGAAATATACTACAAGTCATAAGATTGAAAAAAAACCCATTTAAATTTAAACTTGTTATACTAATTCAGTATAATTTAAGGCTATACTGAGTTGAGGCATGCCAAACAACCTCAGTCATTTAGATCAAAGAAGTTGCTATATATAACGAGAACTTTTCAAGTTTCTTCTTAGTGAAGAAAACTTTTTTTAAAAAAAATATGGACTTAATTTCATCTTCTATTTATTTCAATTTTATAGCCCTATATTGGCGTAAGCAACTTCACTTAAATACATCCAGCAATTAACTGCTTTTCATATAAGTATTTGATAATTATATTCACACTGTGCTCAAAGCACAATAGCTAACTGAAATTATGACCATAGTGATATAAATTAAATTATTCTTTAATCCTATGGCTAATTTATAGTATACAATTAACATTCAGATTGTTTTAAAGTAATGTATCAGAATTGGATTTAATATTATATTACTATATTGAATATGTTAATATGCCACAGCATAAACAAAATAGTTTAATCTGAAATTATGTGTAATAATCTAAACTGTTTGCATAATTTGTGTATTTCTTTTCTCACAGGTACCAATGTATATTACAAAATATTCAATTAAAAATAACATCCAGAACAACTAAATGAAACCCAAGACTAAGATTTCAAAATATTCTTACATTGTCTCCTTAAAACTAGTCTCTTATTAGGGAGTAATAAAACATTGTATATATTGGTGTACACATTTCAACACAAAGAGACAATGAAGAAAATCAAAGACTCGTTTCTTACCACTTCAAAAGACAACATGAAATGAATTTGCAAGGTTATTTAACTGCACTTGTAAAGAATGAAACGAAATGCTGTATACAAGAATATATGCATCGTAGGTGGGCAGTCAACAGCTGTCAAATACATTACTGTCTACAGGATGATCAAATAGTTAACAGGTGACAAACAGACTTGTAAATTTTTGTCATCCATATAATTGTACCAGTATTCACCAAGTCTCAACATTTCTTCTCTACATATATTAAGATGCTTTGAAGTCAGCTGTAAAGCATATAGCAGATAAATTCAACTAAATGTGAAAAGATGAGTAACTTGTTTTGAAGAATACAACAAACTCATACTAGTTTTTAACTAGATTTTTAAATATATACTTTCAATTCTTTGGATCTTGAATACAAAGAATAATGTGTTTATAAAGAACAGAATAGGACAGTATTGCTTTCATTTCTCAAGTGGTACAAAATAAAATACTGGTAGTTTGCATCACATCCTCCTTTACTCCTTTTTTCAATAGGTTAATTCTTATTTGTTCATATTTAAAATGATACAGTTTTATGGTCACAACATTTCATATTATATATTCAGATGTAGTCAATCTTGATTTGCCTTCAATAAAAAACCACTGTTTATGAAACTTTCTGAAAATATTGTAGTTCATATACTATAGTATCTACACTTATTTAAAATATAAAAGATTTTGCAATTATTTCATTTAGAAGTAAACTGCTAAAACCTTGAAAAGGAAGTAGATAGAAACGATTTTTCTTCCAAATAAAAAATGAATTCAACTCACTAGGTGTATAAACAATTCTATTTTCGTGGTCCACAGTTAGTCATGAGGAGTAAAACCTTTCAGATTATCATATTTAATATCTATACACAGTAAGATTATATATATATATATATATATATATATATACATACACACACACACACACACACACACACAAACATATATATATGCTAGATTCAGCAATACAGAAATGGCATAACTTTGCTTACTGATATAATTCTGCCTCACAGGAATATATCTTAATAAAGAGACTATAATGCAGTTTAAAGCTTGGTTTTGATCATGAACACTTATATCATTAATGCTCAAGATAAAATAAGATTCTTTAGTCTTTCTGGAAATTCATTACTTTTACTTAATATTTTCCTCATTAAAGTTTCTTGAACTCCCTTATGTGATGCTTCTGTTATTTTTAATTTTCTGCTCTTTATTTTTATCTTTTTTTTAAAAAAATCACCCAGTTACTGCAAATTTGACGGGAGCTGAATAATGAAAGATTTAATTCAAGTTTGGAATAATGCTGAAGCAAATTTCACCTCTTCAGCTCATCAAAAACCAATTCAATATAAGCAATGGCAGAGCCATTTCTTTTTTTGATGAGTGGTTCTGGATTAAATCAGAACAATCCTTTATTTGCAGCACTGAAAAATCACAGATTACAATACATGTAATACAATACATAACTTTCTAAAAATAGCCATGTATGGATTTGTTGTTTCTGAAAAAATATTAAAGGGGTTTTGTTTCTCTGCCATACCAAACAATCAAGAAAGTTTTGAAGATATTTCAATCATAACAAGCCACATGTTTAAAACATTTTTAAGTTCAATAGATTTAGAGAAATATCTTTCATTTAACTTTCAATATTACCAATCTGTTTTGCAAACACTATTGTATGGAAAAACTATTATACTTTAAGAAAAACTCAAAAAATATTATTTGGCCCTAAACATTGAAATAAAAAAGGAAGGAATCCTACCTTGGCAAAAAAGACTGTAAGATGAGTTTCACTGCCAAGTATCCAAATAGGGAATTTTGGAGACTTCAAGTAGGATCCAACCTAAGAAAAACAAGAACATTAAAGCAAAACAAAACAAAACAAAAAAGAATTAGCACATTTCTAATGGAGCAGATAATGCATACTTCTGCTTCAAAATATTGTTGGGTAAACAAGACTCAGAGTACTCTTAAGGAAAAGAAGTCTATATCTGGACTTCTGGACATCTAACTATGACTTAAATTGCATTCCAAGATAAAGTATCATAGATCAGGGGTGAGAACCAGTTGTTATTTAACTTCTCTACCAAAATAAGAAAATATAAAATGGAAATTCAGTATGGCATTTGGTAAAGGTATTAATTTATAACAGTAAGATTCAGATTAAGGTCTGATCATGAAAAACATTAGATAATTTTTAGCCAGACTTTCTCATAGAGCCTTATGTAGCTATCAAAAGTGTTGCTGTGAGGTTAAAGTGAGGTGAGATATGTCAAGCTGATGGGAGTTATTTGTATTGGAATGAAAAAAGATGTTTCAGAACATAGTGAGATGCTTGTATAACACTTTTCAGCAACTGCTTCAGCAACAGTCTTTTTCCTGGATCATGCAGCAACCTTCCACAGCTGTAATACAATCTTAGGAAAGGACATGTTTGGTTTAAGAGTTGCCAGCAGATGTTACTTGTATTCCTACATGTGTTCAGAAACACATTTTCTGCTCTGTATTCTAAGCACCACATAGACCTAATAAATGTTAATGCCTAACTCCTGATATAATAAACAGAGTTAAGCATGCAACAAAAAATTAAATTTCCAATTGGAAATAATCTGATCTCTTTTAACTATTACTGTAACAGTGAATGATTCTTTTAAAGAAGAAAGTTGTAAAAACTGTCTGTTTGTCTGTCTATCTATCATCTATCTCAATATCTAACTCTAATTTTATAGCACAGTTATCATTCATGCTTACATGCCCTACCCAAATACTACAAAAAGTCCATATATAGCATTGTATTGATTTGTTCAATGTAGAAATAAATGAGATGTTGGTATAAATATAATAAATCAATATGTTTAAGAGGTGAATTGGTATAATTTGGGGCATTAGATATTGGTATTTCATAGGAAACTACTGAAGTAGCGAAAACAAAGAACCAAATCAAAAACTTAAAAGATACCATCCAGGATCGCAAGTTGATAGTTTATGTAAAAAGTATGTAATTGTCTCTAATATAAGAAATTTAAGATAACACTGGGTAATGCTTTCATTCATTAGACGTAAGTGAATTGTTTTTTCAAGTCATATAATTCATCATGCTTTCACATGACAGGTTTTAAAAAGCTTACCTTACAATATCTCAGGGATTCCATAAGAGTCAAAAAACCAACAGCTCCTTGTTTATTAATTCCAAGTAATTCTAAAGAGAGACAAAATTCCTGTATTTGATTATTCAAAGTCTGATTCATAGCTCTTTTTCTTAGTTACACCATACAATGAAATTTTTGTTCTATATTAACAAAGTGAATGGCAAATAAAAATATATAGAGGGAGTAATACAACTCAAGTAAGTGACATTAAAATAATATTTTTCTATTTTCAGTATTTTTTATGTTTAATGAAGCAAACAAACAAATAGTAACCGAAAAGCATACATCAGCAAAGGACTACACAACTGAAGAATTAGAACAAATTCTTATGAATTGAAGGAACTGCTAGAATACAAAGGAATACAAAGGAAACTAAGCTAAAGAAACTAAAATTGTTGGCTTTAGGCAACATTACAATTTTTGAACACACATATCACATTTATTTTGAGGTAGAACATGTATGCAGGATCTCAGTAAAAAAGCTCATATATCTGACAAAGAAAAATTTAAAAAACTAATAGAGCAAAAGTACTATTTCTCATGGACTGCCCTTCAAAATTGTAACAGAGGACACAGCAATTCTTAATAATAAGAGTCAGAATTTTATATTAGCCATTATAATTTAAAGTTTGTGGGATTAAACAAAGCAAGGATGTAAAATTTCTATTTGAAGATCACTTCAACCAAACCCATAACTGGAGCTGATAGCAATAGAAAGTTTTATTCATTTAACACGTAAAAAATTTCCACACAGTTATTTCAAGCTGTTTCTTTAAAACATAAAACAGTTGTAAGTCTTCCAATAATAATTTGCTTCTAATCAAATTGCAACACATGGCAACATATGCAACATACACATGGTTAAACAAAAAGTGATATGGGGATTAAACTTCAATTCAGACATGATCACAAGACTAAACTCAAGGATAGAATCTGATACATTTTTTAGCAGGACACTGTCACAGCAATTTGATTGCATAAAAACACTTTGAGAGATCCACTTTTAAATTAGCAGTGAAAAACTCATTTGCACACACAGTCATAATGAAACAGCACTTCAGTACCATTTGATGATTTGGGAGATTTTATTTTTTTCTTTATGGGCTACTGCCATCTTGTGGATTTAAAAATACTGCACTTATTTATTGATGGGATGTAGGTAATTCTTAATTTATAGCCACAATTAATCCTAAACTTTTAATCATGTCAAGCTATTATGTACCAGATTTAATTTTATGCCTGTTTTATGATCATTAAGTAAATCACATGGCCATACGTCCTAATTTAGCTTATTCAATGGGTGTTCCCCACCCTCCACCCTCCGAAAATGGCAAAAAGTCACAAAACATAATCACGTGGACATGGAACACTGCAATTGATTGCAAATGTGAGTCAGTTGCCAAGTGTTCAAAATGTAATCATGTCACCAAGGTGATAGTGAAATAGTTGTAACTTCAAGAATGAATTATAAATAACTTTTTTTTAGTACATTGTAATTTCAGCTGTCCATTAAGCATCAGTAATAAGTCAAGGAATATCTGTAGTTTAAAGTCTGATATGCAACAATTGCTGAAAAATGAAAGTGTTGCATCAGATTTTGGCAAGAAAGTAGAATGATTATTTAATGTTATATTTTCCCTTTTAAGATCAAAGATATTTCAAGGCTGTAAGATCAAATTCTTAAAGGATGAATTAATTGCACCTTTAGAAGGAAGGAGCTCAGGGCTCTGTACAATATAGCCTGCAACTTTAAGGTGTTTTTATATAGCTCAATTGTTATTTCCATCTAACTTTAGATGATGATAGTTTAAAATACTAGGTCAAACTGAAAAGTCAAGGAATCACCATCAAAAATCTATTCTACCTAAAAAGGCAATATAGCAGATTAGTAAAATTATAATTTTCTATGGTATACAATTTATTTGAAATATTATTGATGTTTAATTCTATTTCTTACATTTTAGGCCTGAAATAAAATCTTATGGGAAAAGAGTTTATCAATAAAACTAGAAAGTTGTGGAAAATAAGCTTGATTGCATACCTGTAGGGATTATCATTTCTGTTTTATTCATTTTAAACAGATCATTCCAATAAAGATACAGGATTAATTCATCTGAATTGCATGCAATTCAAATTCAAAGCAAATAAATACTTTTTTAAAAAATTCAACATTACTATAAGGCAAATCAAATTCATACTTACTCATTCCTGAGCATTCCCTATCTCCATCCCAGACATTAGATACTGCAAATCCCGTCAGCAGAAGATTAATTAAACTTTGGCTTAAAAGGCAGAAGAAAAGGTTTTTGATAATTGCACTGTTTCTTTTTGCTAAAAAAAGTTGATATTTTAAACTCCACACTCAACTGAATAGTAAAACACAGTATCATCTGCATACACTTTTTTGAATAACCAAGACATTCATTTTAGATTACAAGTTGTAAAAAGTTAACTTTCCATACAATTTTGTAAGAGTTACTTACAATAAGTAATAAATATTACATAAAAAGCCAGTTACACATATTTTTATCATGATGATTAATTATTACACAATTAATGCTATTTCTATGCTAGCATTTGTTCCATCACTAGTTTAAGGAAGATAGAAATAACAAAGCTTACCTTCCATGACCATAAACAGGATCTATCAATGGTTCGGATGAATCTTCAATTTCATTTTTTATATTTTCAATGCCCTAAAAATTATAGGATAATGTCCACATATTTGTACTAAGAAAAATATTTTTCCAATTCTTTAGCATGCATATTAATAGGTTTTAGCTATTCTGAAGGTTAGTTGTGACTGAAAATTCAAACAAGTGCCTTACCTTACAACTTGTTTACTTTTTCATATAATTTAATTGCCAATAGGTATTATCCTATACAATATCCTCTTCTGTTGTGGTATAAAACTAAAAGCCACTAATTCATTCTAGAATCTCTCAAGAAATTCCAGGCTGTATATAGCAAAACCTCCATATTTTTGAGCAAAGATTTAAAATTCAGCATATCTATAAGTATTATTAGTCTTTAAAATACAGTGTATTTTATTCTGTTCATCTTAGGAGCAAAAAATACATTATTTAAAAGATCCTTTAATCTTTTAAATAGTCTTCCTCTAACCAACCTATTATAATCATTTCAGAAACAAACCTAAGAGATCTAGCAAAGACCAGAACCTACAGCTACATAAACATCCATACATATACACAGGCATATTTGTACTAGAAGCCTAACTCATATAATTTAATGAAGCTATTTTAGAAGTTCTAAAGTAGAGTTTTAAAAACACACCTTAGTAAGTATCACAGAATATAGAAAAAGGAGCACTCCAAATTTATTTGTCCACATTGTATGGTGATTCCAGACTGCATCCTTGAAATCAGAAAAGTTGGCATATGAACGCTTGCTAAAGGTTAAAAATAAAAGTCAGTTAGGCATTCAGTACTTGTGATTAATGTAAATGCAATATAACTAAGAACAATTATCTATTGGGAAAATCAGTGGTTGTAGCAGGTATACATTATTAGTGGTATCAATATAGCAGAATAAATCAAAATTTTAGAAAGAAATGTTTAAGGTTTCACATCTGAAAAGATTTGACATGTTATAAAGTAAATGGGTACCTTATTAAAATTTCCACCATGTTTATACAGGTTATGTTTAATGTATGAAAATAGGCATTTTATACAAAGGCTTGGAAATGTATAGAATGCCAAAATGGGATTCTATATAAAGCCAACTTTTCAGAAACATATATATTGTAAATTAATGCATGTATATATGGATTAAATGTATAGGTTGCCCAATTCATGACTTTAGGCAGTATACAGCAGTATACAAATTAAAAACAGATTTGATACAATAACATTTAAAGGCATATTCTTCCTAAACTAGCATCTGGAAAAACGATCAAGTCTTCATGGTCCATTTAAAGGATGTCAGTTTGCAGCCAACACTAGCCTCCAGAGTACACTATCTCAAAGAGCAGGTGTCATGATGGAAAAGGCACATCACCTGGGATCCATAATAATCAGAGCCTACCCACTGGGTCAAAATTTATTCAGTGATCAGGAACAATGGGAGAAAAACAGTCCAGCAGACAACCAGGTGCACACCCTAACTGAAGGGTTATATAGGTCAAAGTAAATACTTTTAATTGTAGTTGAAAACTTACTGGTAACCATTGTGGCTCACAGAACAGAGGTGTCACAGATAATTATTATTACTATTAAGTTTATTTCTCTGCCTATCTCGTGGATTGAGACTTTAATAATTTTTAAATTTGTAAAGGTGTCAAAACTATTGGACAAAACTAGGTCTGATACAGAAAATTATAGCTCAAAGAGTCTGTACACTTAACACTCCTTTTTCTCTCTATTTTAAAAATTCATGTAAAATATCAAGTGTTATTTCCTACCACTCCTAACAGTATGTTTCTTTCTGGTTTTAAAGCAGCAGGTTGCATGAGCATAAGCAGGTTTAATCTTGATGTTGAGTCACATGGGATAAAACAATACAAAGCTTATATCTTAAAATGATAATTTTGAATATTTTAAGTGCTGCAACATGTTACTTACTAAATTAATGCATGAAATCGTTCAAAGCCAAATTCTTCCACAGCCAAGGCAGCTATATACAAGAAATACTTTTTAGTTCAGACAACCAAAACTGACAGAAACACACAGCAAGCTGGAATACTTTCAAGCTTTTCATAACGAAAGTCACCCCCCCCCCACCTTCTTTCAGTACAACTTTTGTTACATTGTACATGCCAGTTTAATGAAATTAAGAGTCAATATTGCCAAGATTACAAAACCACTGAATTTCAACAGCTTTGCAAACTAACCAGAGTCAGTTTGACATGAATTATGAAAACTACTGCAGGAAAATCATCAACCACAAGTGTAGTTTTTCCTAAAAGGATAACTTAGAATTGGATTTCAGAACAGAATTAGTGTAATTAGTGTTTCATTTTTCTCAAATTGTTTCACTACACCAGCAAACTAGGAGCATGCATCTTTTAAATAAAATATTTTGCACTTTTTAATAACTAACCAAACAGTAAAAAAAATGCTATATTTAGTGCTTTTCCAATTCAAACTTTTTACTAACTTTTCTCACTTTTTGAGAGAGAAATTAAAGGGAGTTTTTCAATGTAACCGATACCTAATCTGTTTAAAGGTTCTAAGTGGAATTTATTGGAATTTACTTACTGAATTTCATATGTAATGAAAATAAGTGATTTATGGTTAGATTAACATAACAGTGCTGTATCTATTATAAATATAAGTACTTATTTAATTAAATTTATTGACCGCCATTTTACCACATACCACAGGTAACTGGGCAGTTGACAATAAATATTTAAAGAATGATTGTAGATTTTGAATTCTATAAAAAGAATTCTACTTTTGATAAAAGAAACACAGCTGCATGTCAGATAAATATATCAAATAAGAAAAGAAATAAATCTTAATATTAAGCTACTTGGTGGTTAATAAAATATATAATATGAAGCTTTGTGTAATAAATACATTTGGAACAGCATCTAGGTATAAACAATAAGTCTCAATGAAAAATAGATATATTTATTGCATCTAATAAAATATCAAATCATCAATAGGCTATAAGAATAAGGAATAAGGAAGTTTGAACCAATGAACCTGCATTATTTTAGTCAATGTAAAACAAACAAATCAATTATATAAATTATTGTCATCAATTTCACTGAGCTTGAACACTGAGCAATAGTAAAGAACAGAGAAACAATAGAAAGAGGAACATACTATAGAAATCAAAGTCTTTATTTCTAAACAAGAGAGTTTAATCTCTCTAATCTGATTAATAATTATTTAATAATATGAATAGACAAGATATAAGAAATGAAAAATCTCAATTTTTGTTTTTGCAATTACCAACTCCAATATATTTTACTATCAGAATGAGTTTCATAATTGCATTTTTGTTCCATGAGAAGTGTGTACCAGAACAAGGATAATAACAACTGCTTTTCAACTAATTCCTTTAAAATGGAAAGAAGCAATAAATCATAAGCATATTCCAGTGATTATAAACAAAGCACTAAATAGGAAAGCTCAGCATTTTTTTCCTTAGCACTTGTTATGTATCATGGAGCAGTATCATTTTACTGACAAATTTATTTTAACACCCTGTCAAAGAAAGCATTATTTAACTTAAATGAGCCTTAATGTGATGGATTGATATAAATGGGTTGCATACATCATCTGCGTTACCAACATTAATGCAAAATCTGTGGTACTCTAATTTACTGTATGACTAAACAGTGGCCTTCTTTACCAAGCTATTTGAGGCACAACTAAACAAAACTATACCCTAATCAGGTGATGTTCCATTTTTCCCCCCAAATAAAATCTGAGTTGTAATGGAATAGCTGCATGCTTAAATTTTCTTTTTCATATTCCTGGGTTAATATAAATCAGTGGCCCCACATATGAAAAGAAAATTAGTAAATGCAGGTACTCCTCAACTTTTGACTGTAATTAAGCTTGGAATTTTGATTGTGAGTTATGATGGTTGTTAAGAAGGTCATCACATGACCCCATCCTATTTTATGTTTTTGTGGCAGTCATTAAATAAATGTCAGATTCATTAACCAAACCCATTTTCTTCCAATGGGAATTTTATGCTGGAAACTAGCAAAAACACCTCTCCAAAATACTGGTCATGTGACCATGAGATGCTGCAAATAGTCATAAATATGAGCCGGTTGCCAAGCATTCATAATGGGAATATATGATCACACAGGGAGGAGAATGTGGCCACTGGAACTCTGTAATCAGACCATAATGGGGATGTCCATTGAAACCTCGACAATAGCTAAGTGACCAATTGCTAAGCAAGGGCTACCTATAATTCATTTAAAGCTTTTACAATCTTATCAAACATTATTCCTTCACTATAAAATGGTTAGCGCTCTTCATGAATCAATCACTTGAAAATAAGAATATATGTTTCATATTCATTCATGTATTTCACCAAAATATACATTTCCGTAGGCTTAAAAGGATAATAAATATTTTACTGGAAAACAAATTACATGGACTGCACAAGTATTAATGATATATTAATGACGATATTCAACTAAGTTTTGGATGAAAAAATTAAAGGACACTACTGTGGGAATTTTTCCACAGCAGCGACTACTCTGAAAACATTCCACCTATATACTCGAGTATAGGCCGACCCGAATATAAGCCGAGGCACCTAATTTTACCACAAAAAACTGGAAACGTTATTGACTCGAGTATAAGCCTAGGGTGGGAAATGCAGCAGCTACCGGTAAATTTCAAAAATAAAAATAGATACCAATAATGCCATTGCCCATTAAATAACATATACAGCCTGCCTGTGCCCATTGTACAGTAGCCATTGTAAAAATTTGCTCTGGATAACAAATTATTATCACACAATACCGGTGTATTCAATGAAATACTTCACTCACCTCATGATGCTAATGTCCCGCTGTGATGATGATGCGCGGGAGCGATGTCCCGCCTCCTATGACACACGGCACAGTGATTCCTATCATTGGATCACTGTACCAGAGGAGGTGGGACATCGCTATGTGGCTGCTTGCCATAACAAGGAGGAGGTGGGACATCGTTGCAGAGCGGCAGGAGGGGGAGGAAGGGGAATCGTAAGACAGCCCTGCATTACATTAGAACGTGAGGAGGGGGGATGGTGCGGTGCGCGCTGCGCGGCAAACTGACACAGAGGGAGGGGAAACTCACAGGGGCGTCGGGCCATTCACGAGCGTCACCCAGCGGCATGGCCCGTCCCTTTTTCTCCTCCATTTCGGGCAAATTTTTCACTGACTCGAGTATAAACTGAGGCGGCTTTTTTCAGCCCAAAAAGTGGGCTGAAAAACTAGGCTTATACTTGAGTATATACGGTAACCAAAAGTTTTATTTTTGATACCGTTGTACAGGTGGAAACATATTTAGTTCTTCCATTAGGCTAAAACAAAATAAAAAATAAACAAATAGGAAGTACGACAATTTAGCCAGTAAATATTACAATCATACCAAATAGGAACTGGATATATGAAAAATATTTCAAAACTGGAATGAATTTAAACTGAAGTTTCTCATTCTGAATTTACTGGAAGTGGCCCACTTTTGAAACATGCTTCTCTATATTTAATTGATCAGAGTGCTTATGATTAGGGTTTGGAATGCATTGTCTAAGGTTGAAATATTTCAGCTTGAAATGTTTATAAACTTCCAATTAGGTATTGAGACAATAACTAATATGGCTTTAGAAAACAAAAGCAACAAAAAGCTTAAATCAAAATAACAATAGCACTTAGACTTATATAACACTTCATAATGCTTTACAGCCTTCTCTAAGAGGTTTAAATTTGTCCCAACAATCTGGCTCCTTATTTTACTGTCCTTGGAAGGATGACAGGTTGAGGTAACCTTGAGCTGGATTGAATTCCAGGCAGTGAGCTGAATTAGCCTGCAAAACTGTGTCCTAACCACTGTGTCACCATGGCTCCAAAAAGTTACTATAAATAATATTTTTAAAAGAATTACAGCATCAACTGTACTATTAGGTGTAAGTCAAGAAGAATGTAAACAATATTATAATGTAAAATATTTTACATTAAAATATATTTTAACTAGTAAAGATTAATTTTTCAATGTATTTTTATTTATGTAAAAATACAAACTTTATTTGCTTATTTGAAAATATTTCAGTAAGAACTTCAAAGTATCATTAATTAGACCAGAGGGATTTTTCTAAACGTCTCCATATTAAATATTATTGCATTATAGAACAAACTGACCTACAGCTTTATTGTCCATTATTGGTACTGTGTGCTAATAGATTGATTTTATACCAGGACTGTACAAGAACTTGGATCAACTGAATGAAATGAATGGATTCCTTCCCATTGCAGGAAGGATTAAGAGCAAATAGAAGAAACACTTTCTGTGAATTAACCCCCATCATTTCTTCAATGAAGCTTTACTTTTGAGTGCTTAATTTAAAATTATATCTGTATCCACATTTATATTTTACTGATATATTATTAACGTATTAGGTTATGAACATTGCATATCAAGCATATTCTAATATTAGAAAAGATCATTGAGTGTGTTCAAGAAAGAGAGGAGGATATATCCTTCAAGATCACATTTGCTATCTGTAGATTATCTTGATTCTCAAAAAAAAAGTTTATGCAGTAATGAGTTACCTGACTTATTTGGACCCAATCAGATTCAGTCAGAATATCAACAATATAAATATTGTAGCCTAGGCTTAAAATATTTCTAAACTACTGTACGTCTATCAAACTTAGACTACAAGGTGTAATGAAAATTAGGAACAGAGGACAAAATGATCTGTAGAATCATATTAAATAATTCTATATCTTAATAAATACATTTTGTATAAAAAGCACAAAGTATTCTGACTCATATTACACAAAATATCTTACATGACTGCTCCTCTTGATTGCTTGACTCTGCTGAACTTTCAGAAATATTAGAAGTATCTTCCACAGGGTTTCCTCTTTGCCATGTTGCCAAAGAGTAGGATTCTGATTGATCAGAGCAAGTCATTTCCAAAATTTCACATAATGCATGACAAAGGATATTTTTCTGCTCTTCTTCTGAAATATTCAAAGTCAGAACAGACAAAAGATTTGACCAGGAACTTGCATGCAAAACATGTAGCAATATTCTTTATACAATCTAATACTGAGTCTTCCTCAAATCCCAGCAGGTTTAAGGCAATTTAAGAAAAGAACTGACAATCAATGACTTTGGATTTGGATTTCATCAATTTCCTGGGAACTATCCAATACTTTTGTCAGATCAGATTTCTAAATTATTTAAAATATTGGACACGACAAGAAAGTATTTTGGAATTAACTGTTTTGCCTTTGCCTGGCTCATTCTCTCCTTCAGTTACACTACTCATGTTGGCTCATTTGATACAAATCTAGTTCAGAGAAATAGGAATAAACCTTGGCATACCTTGAACTCTTGCATCCCCCTCTATTTCATCCTTATCAAGTATAGTCAAGAAGAAAGGCAATTAGGTTAAATAAGTATGGATATACTGATTTGGTTAGACTGATCCTAACTGTAGTTAGTATATATATATATATATATTTATATTTATATATATAAACAAACTGGTGGCCCACGAGTCAGATGCGTCACACACAGGCCACGCCCACGGCAGCTCTGCAAAGGCAAAAAATGTCACAATACGTCATGAAACATCACGTGATGTGATCGAGTTTGATATTTGTGAGTTAGAATAAGACATCCTGGAATAAATTAAAGGCAAGCAATACTTCACTATCTTTGTATGTGTCAATAAAGGCAAAGTTTAGATTAGCCAGCTGGATCCAATATAGAGTTTAAATCAGAAAGTAGCCGCATCTCTTCCATTCCTTCAACAATGCCAGAGAAGAAAAGGAGGATGAGTTTGTTGTTAGACAGTCCTCTCAGCCCAAACCGTCCGACAGGGTTGTTATTGTTGTGGGAAAATAGGAGGAGAAAGATATGCAAGATATGTTTGATGTCTTGAGTTGTTTGTAAAAATAATAAAGGCAAGAAACAAATAGCCAGGTGTTTTTTTCCCTTCTGAACATAGTAGTCAATAAGTCCTAGCATGCAAGTTAGAAAGTAGTATATATTATAAATTCCTGCTGCTTGCTTAATTTGTATGTTGATTCATTCTGCAGGATTGGGTTTCCTGTTAGACTTATAAGCCTAAATTCTATTTTTAAGTTTAATGTTACAATTCTATTTTTAAAATCATCAGCAAATGCATAATCTTCTCTGAAATATGCAGATTAAGAAACACTGACTATAAATAATAACTATTGTTTGGTTTAGCATATATCATTTTTCAAATTTGGCATTATAACCCTCTTGGAGATGTAAGTTCATAGTTACCTTGACACTCTCTCCAGGTAGATTTCTCACAAGTAAATAGCTTCTTCAGAAGGAGTGCCTTATATTAAAGACAATATTGACATATCAGAAATGTATTGTTTGATCTTCAGTGGTGCAAAGAGTTTTCATTTTCAATATTGGTTTAATATTGGGGGGGGGGGAACAGATTTATAAATATTCCCCAATACTGATGTCCTTTCCCCTTATGCCTATATAGAATTTAGTTCCATGTCTTGAACAATTACATTCCATGTCTTGAACAATTACATTACCTGAAAATATCACTACAAATCTAACAAGATCCTGTACAAAGTGTAATCCCTTTTGTCACACATGCTATTCTAAAAAATAGGAAGCATTTCATGTCAAGTAAGGGATTGTAGACCCTATTCAGAAACACAAGTTAGCTTTATTTGAAATCAAGTATTGCTGAAACTTGAAGAACATTGGATTCTTAAAATGTATATTTTTATTTCACTTAAAAATTGGTAGTTGTAGTATTAAATGAATGTCATATTAAATGAATATTACAGACTTCAATATCTCAAAATACAGGTAGTACTTGATTTATGACAACTGAACCCCAAATCGTCTGTTGCTAAGTGAAACAGTTGTTAAATGAGTTTTGCCTCATTTTATGACCTTTCCTGCCACCGTTGTTAAGTGAATCACTGTATTTCTTATTAACATGGTTGTCAAGTGAATCTGGCTTCCCCATTGACTTTGCTTGTCAGAATGTAGCAAAAGATAATCACATGACCACAGGACACTGCAATAATCATAAATATATGAACCAGTTTCCAATCATTTAAATTTTAATTATGTGATCATGGAGATGCTGCAAGGGTCATAAGTGTGAAAAATTATCATCTTTTTTCAGTGCCACTGTAACTTTGAACAGTTACTAAATGAACAATTGTAAATTGAGGTACCTGTACTATGTTTTAAATTCAGTATTACCTATGCAGCATGCCACAGTTGTTTATTCTAAGTGATTTAAATTATCGAATAAGCCAAATATCAGTAATGAAATATATTTTTCAGGTTTGTTTACTCAGATGTTAGCATTATTACCTGAACTGGTGCAATTACAGCACAAGGGCCTCCTTCAAATTGTTCTAATGCAGTAGATTCGGAGTCACTGAACACAAATCCTGCGGAAAAGAAAAAATTTCAATTAGCTATTTCCAAGAAAAAAAGTTCATTAATAAACTTTAGCATATTTTTGATAACGTATTCCTTATCAAACTCGTGTTCCTCAACATTCCAAGTCTCAACCTTATCTGTAAGTGCTATAGCCGATGACATTCTTTTTCATTTGCTATCTATATTTCTATATCTCTCTGAAATAAAGATCAAGGTTTTTCTAGCTGTATTCTGCAGTATACCAAGAAATCATTGCTGGACTATGTTGATTTAAGGAAATAAAATAATATAAATAAATAAAATAAAATATTTAAGCAGAATGTGTTCAGCCTCTTTAAACAGCTACCCAAAATAGTACAGTTTTCAACAGTTCACAAATTTCATTTAAATAAGAATAGCATGTATAATTCTTGGCTCCATTTTACAAGTAGTCCTTGCAAAGCAACCTTTGGCAACAATTTGAAATTATGACAATTTTGAATGATTGGCACTCATAGTTATGGCTGTACATTTACAACTGCAGGTTGCATATCATGAACCCCCACTCCCCATGTCTTCCTTTTTGTCCACTGCACTCCCCAGACTCTGACCTTCTCCGTCTTCTTGCTCCCACTGATGACAAAGCACACCCAGCCTTGCCCTTGTAAAGCAACCGCTGCCAGGACAATGCATTCTTCCCCAGGTCAGTACGGTAGATATCTTGCGAGACCTTGGGAAGAAAACCTTGTCTGGCCAGCAACTGCCTTGAGAAGGACTAGGGCATGTTTCAACAACAGCGAAAGTAAGACGACAGTGAAGGACAGATGGGGCAGCAGAATGCAGGGCAGAGGGCAGTTACAGCTTCATGGGGACAGCTTTGCACCATGCTGCTGACTCGGAGCAGCTAGGTGCCAACAATGTAGGATTCATGCTGCTGTGGCTGTTGCAGGCCAATGGCTGGGGCAGCTAGAGTTTTGCACTGCACTGGGCTAACTGCACATTGATGGGCTGTGGTGGTTGTAACACTGTACCACTGAGCTGGGGCGATTGCAGATTTTTACTGGATTGGGGAAGTCACTAGTGCCATACTTCTGACCCTGGCAGCAGCCACCCAAGCCTAAGACCTCACTTCCTGTCTGATTCCCCACTGACTTTCCTTGTTGGAAGTTGCAGGAAGTTGGAAAGAGATCCTGGCTCCAAATTTCTAACAACAGCAGTGAGGATTACTGGGATTGTGGTCCCTAAACGATTCAATCAAAGTAATGTTGCACTTTGTGACCACACTGCTAAGGAATGCAGTGGCCCACCTAGTTAGCACTGTGGGTTGAAATTTAGCAAGCCCGTGTTCGAGACCTGGGTGCTGCTTGGTGGCAGAGTGAGCTCCCATCATTTGTTCTAGTTCCTTGAAGGGGACATGAAAGGAGCCCACATGGGAGACAGGGTCTCCCAGGCAACATTGATGTCACCGGCTAATCCTTTCAGCCCAGAAGCACATTAAAAGGTGTCTCTGACACAAACGGGTCAGGAGACCACATTTCTTAATGGTGGAAATTCTGGTTTCAAATACCATTGTAAACTAAGGATTACCAGTGCATTTAATACTCTTGTACTTTGAAGGCCATTCCCAATCCACAGAGATGTACTGTTTGAATTGAAAGATAAAATTTATCACTATTCTATATCTTTTCCGTAAGTTAATTGAAAGCCAAAGTATGAGACAAACTACTTTAACAATTTCAATATTATGCAGATATTTTAGAGCTATATATTTTACAAAATAGATATTTTGCAAGGATAACACAAGGAAAGTTTCAAGAATGTTCTGCAAACATAGGATCATATTGACAAATCTGAATACACTAATTCAGCAGGTATGACAAGTATCACTTATGTGGAACATCAAGTTCCACATAAGTGACACTTTTTCCAGGTTTTGCATATAAATAAATTGATGTGTCCCCAGGAAATCAAGCTCATGTTTTATTATACTACCTGAAAGAATACTGATATGTGCACAGGATCGTACCAATTGGGCAGAGCCCACTGTAGTGAGACAATATATTGTGATGTATCTTCTTAAGTTTGAATGCTATTGTTTGCAGGCTTGACCCATGCCAATTATGGGTCCTGTGCATGAGTGACAGAGTCAACTCTTTATTAGAGCTTCTATGTAGTCCCTAAGTCACTGTACTGGTTACTAGTATGACTTGACAGGATAGAATCAACCTTGGAAAAGAGCCTGGCATGTCTAGCAACTACTTTGCAAAGTGCCAAGCAATGTATGGCTCAGCAGGTCAGCGTTTACTTTCCCCCTAGAGGGTGGGAAGACTGGCAGAGCCAGTGAATATGGAATAGCCAAAAGGACGGAGATTGGGAGTGGAGGAAGCTGAAGTGCTTTCGCACTCCTAAGTACAGGGGTCTGCCAAATTTTAATCATGTAACTATGAGGCCATTGCAACAGTTGTAACTTTGTTCAGTGCTACCATAATTTCAAATGGTCGCTGAATAAATGGTAAAAACTTTAGTACCATCAGTATGCAACCTATTGCAGACTTCACAAAGCACAATAAATAACAAACTGTTCTTACTTAAATAAGAGACATAGTCTCATCTCAATTAGGGCAACCTTCCACTTTGGACAAAGAATTAACACAGATAAGTCTTCACCACCAATTACTCATTCAATATCTCTTTGAAGTTATGGTCGCATCAAATAAGTGGTACTTACAACTGGTGCCAACCATTCAACCTTGAACCACAAGTATTTTTTTTATCTAATGCAATGTCCTGTAGTCACATGATTGCTATTTAACAGCTTTCTTGCTGGTCAGTGCAGCAGCTGCCAGAGAAAGTCACAGGTTATTCTGCTAAATCCTTCTGGCCTTCATGTGCTCATGCTGCACCATCCAGCCCTGGTTTTCCTGTGCTTGTATATGGCAAGGCTTTCAAGTCCACCCTAACTGATGCACAATCTGTGCCAGCCCCCCCCCTCCCCCGGTACCTTCACACTCCTTATTCGGGACTCCTGCTGCTTACTACTTAACACTCACACATTTTGTGGTTACACAGTACCTGGGACTGCTAAGATTGTCTTCACTAATTGAAGTCATGTGATACTATACTTTACAACTACATTACTTAGCAATAGCAATACCAGATTAAACTGCTGCCATAGCTTGAGGGCCACCTGTATTGTTATATTGAAACATGAAAGGATTTGCATGGCTCATAGTGTTTCAGGCTGGACATTATAATAGTGCTGCCAATTGAATCCAAATGGCCAAATCACCTCAATGTGAATAAATATGCACTATCCTCCCCAATAGATTTCTCAAAACCACAATACTTTTCAAAAGAGAAAACATTTAAATTACCTATGCTATGCCTCTAGATATCAACATATCTTAATTACTAGACAAAAAAGGGACTGTATATATACTGTAACCCTTTGACTAAACAAAACAGAATACTGGTTACTAGGATTCTCACGTTGCTTAGTTTATGATCACTCAGCATGTTTATGAAGCATAGTTAATGAACCATACTTTATAAATCACAATGTCTATATTCATATATTTAGCCATTAATAAGATAAACCATTCTGATTTATGCTAAATGAACCCAGTCAGAGGTTTGATTTTTTTTATTAAACTGAAAAAGTAGAAAGTAGATGATTTGTAGGATACCTGTTAAACCAAATTCCACAACTGAGAACATACCCAGCAATTCATAACAAAGTTTTACACAAACTCACACATACACTTCTATAAAGGACATAGAAAACTAACTTTTGTATGCAGGAATACACTGAAGAACCCTAGCAGAAGAATGAGAAATTATTAGATTGACCATTGCAAGAGTCAAAGACCTTTAATTCATGCTTGTAACAGAAACAAATCCAGATGTTAAGAATTAACTATGTGAAATCAGCTGCATTATTTAACATTGCTGAGAAAACAATTACTCCCTGTGTAAAGACAGAAGCAAAGGAATAGTGGGGAAATGATCTGCTTCAGATCTTCTAAATCAAGAATATAACTACCTTGTGTAAATACAACTTTTTTTTTCACGCCTAAACTTTCCTAACTCTATGATCTAACCAAACATCCCAATTCCAATAAAAGGGAGGGAGAAAAAAATATCTCCATTAATCATTTCAATTACACTCCTGTTATATTTGCCTACTTTTTACCCGCTCTGAAAAAAGGTCCTGGAAAGGACAAAATAATCGTAAGAGATGTAAAAGAGAAGACAATACCAAAATTCAGAAATGGAGGATGGAAGAGTAAGAAAAATAAAGTTGGCTGCGTAATAAGCATCAATTTTCTTCACCTTCACACTGAATTAATTGATAGGACCAGTGTTGTGTTCTTTTTTAATACTATAAAGTTACCCTGGGAGACACTAAAGAGGAAGGTTAGTGTAAGAAATCCTGAGTTGAAGATAAACCAAAAACATAAATGGGATGGAGAGACTTTTTGAAAGATGATTTTTCGCAGAAGAAACTGAGGAGGGGTGGGTGGGGAAGAGGACGGTGTCAGGGAGACCTGAGTACAGGCTCGGTAGCCAAAAAAGGAGGAGGATAAAGTGAAGTATACCTTGTATACTACAGTATACCACAATGCACCACAATACCTTGTGTCCAGCGGCAAAAGATGGTATCTGCCAGGCCCTGGGAGGTCTTCTTGCCCCACACCAAGGGGATCATCTGCTCTAGATCAGCCATGGAGGCGATTCACTGTCCGGACGGCTCTTCCGAGACGAAACCTAAAAGGAAACCACACGGAGGCGGCAGTTAAAAGACAGGCAGACCGGGAGGAGGCAAACACCGGCGGGCACAGGTGAGTCTTCGGCGGGCGTCGAGAGAGAGGCGGCTCCTTCCGGGCTGCCGGGCCTAAGGAGGAATAAGAAGCGGTAAAGCGATGCCCCGGAGGAGACCCGGCCTCGGAGGCGTCCCTCTCCTCCTAACCCCCTCTCCACCATCACCTTCCCAGCGGTGGAAGGCCAAAATCGGCAGCGGCCTCTCTCCGCACCGAGACCTCTTCAAACATTCAACATTGCAGCCTCCCTGCCATCCCAGCGCTCGCTCGGGAGGAAAGGAGCTTATTCCACCCTCCTTTAACCCGTCCCTGGCCGCCGCAGCTGCTCCCACCTTTCCCCGCCTCAGAGGTGCCTCTGTGGTAATTCCCCATCCTTCGGCACTTACCCACCTGTGCGGTCCGCGTCTCCTCACTTAGGACCAATTCACTCTTTCCCTCAGGCTCGCTGCGAAGATTGAATGGAAGGCTGGCGAAGTACGGGCGCTTCTTATTGAAGCAGCCTGTGACGAGCAAGCGCGCGGTCGAATCAGAAGCGGGTTTCGTGAATCCCCCTTCCCCCCGCCCTCTTAGGCTCCTGGATTCGAACTCTATCAGAGCGAGGCGGGGAAGAAACTCCGTACACGCGCCAATTAAGAACCGGACCGGGTAGGATCCGATTGGAGGGTTTTGCGTGACGAGCGTGGAGACCAGCCAATCACGGATGGGAAGTGGGCGAGAGAACCAGCTGGAGTGGGCGGCGAGCGACAATTAAAGGAAAAAAAATAGAAGGACACAGGTGGATGGAAAAAAATAAAATCTTATCCGGCTCTTATTGCAGTTTGAGGGTTTTTTTAAATGTAATGACGTACAAATGGATTATAGGACTTTTCACAAGAACAGTCTTTCGAGGTCCTTTGATTTTCCTTGAAAAGATTGCAAAAGGAAGGACGGAAGAAGCAAATGCGAGACCCTAAAAAAAAGAACACATAACAAAACTTTTAATCTCTCTCAGGAAAAACCAATAAGAATCCTGAATTTTATAAATTAGTTCTAACTTAAATTCTTTAATGCTAAGGGAAGCTTTTTTTCTTCTCTAGATAAGAAGAACACGACAGATTGAGGCCAGTAGAAAATGATTAACCTGATGTCCCAACAAAACAAAACCAAACACTCCAGGGTTTAATTGTTAATTATTTAAAAAATATTTAAGGTAGATCTTGTGAAAAGGCAATATGCTGCAATGAATTTAGTTTTAAAACAATTGTATTAATCTCTGCAGGGTTGCAGGATTCATTATGAGCAACCGCTTGGGCATATTGAGGAATCAGGAGGGTTGTTGAAGCTTTCTTGTGGGCTTTTCCAGAGATTGGCTGGCAACTCTGTTGATTACCTAGTACAGGTGGTAGTCAACCTGGTCCCTATTGCCCACTAGTGGGCGTTGTGCTTTCATGGTGGACAGTAGGGGTTTTGTCCCATACTGAAGCATTTTCCTTTTTTAAAATTTAATTGACTTTAAAAAAAAATGGCATAGCATTATTTAAAACATTTTCATTAGGTTTTCATAAAATCACAATTACTGTGAAACCTGTAAAGGTTAGAAAACTTTACTACTAACAGAGATACAAAAGTGGGCGGTAGGTATAAAAAGGTTGACTATCCCTGGGTTGATTTTATCTGTCAGGAATGAACCTGGGCTCTCAGTAGGATTTCTTCTTACCTCCCTTTCCCTCTCTCTTCCTCCCTCCCTTTCCCCTTCTCTTCCTTTCCCTCTCCCCTTTCTGTTGATGCTGGTATGATTTTCTGTGGGTTTTCTGGAGATGAAATCTCAAGATACCTCAAGAAAAATTAGACTTGAGTAAGACTGGATATGGCTTCAAACATAGACCTTGGCAATAAGATCATTTTAGAATAGAATAGCAGAGTTGGAATGTATCTTAGAGATCTTCTAATCCAACCCCCTGCTTAGGCAGGAAAGCCTACACCACTTCAGACAAATGATTATCCAATATCTTCTTTAAAACTTCCAGTGTTGGAGCATCCACAACTTTTGGAGGCAAGTTATTCCACTGATTAATTATTCTGTCAGGAAATTTCTCCTTAGTTCTAAGTTGCTTCTCTCCTTGATTAGTTTTAGATTTTACTTAAAGGTAAAGCATTGGGTTTTTTTTTAATTGTTCCTCACTGCATTGGAGGAATGTTAGCCAAAAATTTTGCTTAGCGTGACTCCTTTGTAAGGGAACTAAGAACAGTCTTGTTACTGGGTTTTTGTGTTTTTTTTGCAAAGACCTTTGCTCATACATTTGCTCAGATTTACCAAGGTCTTGAATCCTCATGGAGTCGAATGGGTGACAGACATCTTGCTGTGTTATCTGGAATGGCTTTTAGACACAGAAAAAAATTAATGCAATGCTTTCTGGTATGACCTCCCTCTTATCTATGGCCTTCGCCCATACTCCTCCTGGCTCCTTGCATAATGAGGTGGATTTTAGAAGTTTAGAATTGAATAACAGGGTTGGAAGGGACCTTGGAGGACTTCTAGTCCAAGGGTCGCCAGCTTTTAAAACCTCAGGGACCACTAAATTCATAATTTTAAATCTCATGGACCACTAAGATGATTTTTTTAAAAAAAAGATCAATAGTATTCAGTGCAATATAAAAATGCAAATAATTTTTATGCAAACCAACAAAATCTTGCCATGGACTGCTAGTGATCCACAAACCATTGGTTGGCGATTGCTGTATCTAGTCTAACATCCTGCTCAGACAGGAAACCTTATTCTATTTCAGACAATTAGTTGTCCAATCTCTTCTTAAAAACTTAAAAGAAAAGAATAACAGAGTTGGTGGGGACCTTGGAGGTCTTCTAGTCCAACTCCCTGCTGAGGCAGGAAACCCTACACCAGACAAATGGCTATCCAACATCTTCTTAAAGACTTCCAGTGTTGAGGCATTCAGAACTTCTGGAGGCAAGTTGTTCCACTGATTAATTGTTCTAATTGTCAGGAAATTTCTCCTTAGTTCTAAGTTGCTTCTCTCCTTAATTAGTTTCCATTCATTTCTACTCAGGTGCTTTGGAGAATAGCTTGACTCCCTCTTCGTTGTTGTAACCCCTTAATTATTGGGGCACTGCTATCATGTCACTCCTAGTCCTTCTTTTCATCAAACCAGACATATATGATTACAGCAACCATTCTTTATATGTTTTAGCCTCCAGTCTCCTAATCATCTTTGTTTCTCTTGTCTGCACTCTTTCTAGAGCAGGGATGTCAAACCTATAGTGACCATAACTGGATGCAGTATTACAAGTGTGGCCTTACCAAGGCATTATAAAATGGTATTAACACTTCCAATGCCTCACTCTGGCAGTGGGTTATGTTATGGCATCCTTGAATGAGCTGTGGCTGCAGCCTCTTTATGAGATTCTCTTTGAATCTGTGTCTCAAAATTATTGTCCAACCTTCTTAAGGAAGATGGGGTATTCAGTAAGATTAAACTACCTTAATGGAAACAGATTATCTGTTTGATTTCAGACTTAGATGAAGGCCAAAAACATGACTTTGGATGATATAATTTGCAAGCCTTCTAGTAGTTGTCCCTAGGTTTCTAGTGCAATTTTGAGATCAAGAAGTAGTAAGAGTTTAGAGGTTTTAGCTCTGAATGTCTTGAAGGCTTTTTAAATTCAAATTTATATGGCATTTGGAGAGAGGTCTTCCATATTTTACTTTGTAGTATAAAGGTTCAAAGATCTTTGGAAGGTCATTTCCAAACTGCTACCAAGTGCAAAAGTCCCTCACATTTTTCAGTAATGTATTCATTACTAAAGCATTCATTATTAACACCTTTGACAGAAGATCATCCAGACTCTGTTTAAATATCCCAGTCATATTTACTACCTTCCAGATCTAAGCTGTGCCAATGTTGAATATCTTTTACCATTGACCCCTTTCTTGATGTACAACCAAAACCTGTTTCTTTACAGTTTATATCTATTAATTATTAACTTATATCTAGTGATGGCTAACCTTTTTGTTGTCATGTGCCGAAAGCATGTGAGTTCCGTGCGCTTGCAGCCATAATGAAATGTGTTTCTCTCCATGCATGCATGACCCTCCTGTACATGAATGCATAACTCTTCCCAGGTTCCCCCTTGCATGCGCCCCTCCCCTTCTCACCCATTTTTAGCTTCCAGGTTGGTGCAGGAGACTTTCCAAGTCCAAAATGGGGTGTGGGTGTGGGTGGTGTGTGGCGTGAGGCCCCAAAATTCAATGCAAACACACACACACCCTTGCATGCACCCCACCCCTGCGTATGTGCAGCAGAGACCGAGGATCAGCTGGTCAGTGGGAGGCGCATGCACAGTGGAGCTGGGCGGGGGTACAGCTGTCATGCCCGCAGACAGGGGTTTGCGTGCCACAAGTAGCATGCGTGCTGTAGATTTGTCATCCCAGCCTTATATTCTGGAACAATTCTGCCCTGAATATGATATCTCTTCAGATACAGAGGATAGTTTTCAAATCTTCGTACAGTCTTCTTCTCTGAGCTAGAGATAGGCATTATCTTCAAGCATTCTTTCTAGCCTTTTAGTTCCTGGCCTTTTATCATTGTGGCTGCTGTCTCTTGGACATACTCCATTTTTCCCAATGTCATTATAAAAGTTGTACATTTTTTTTAGAAACAACCATTTTTCTTTATTTTGATCAATTGATGATTACATTTATTTTATTTTCCAGGTGTATATTCTGTTTATTCATGCTCACAGAATTGCCAAATAATCTTTTTGCACCGGTTTCCAGGTCCCATCCTTCCATCTTATATTCCTGCCTAGGATTTTATCTATTTACTAAAAAGATTTGTATAGCCTCCTCCCCCCTGTCTTATTCCATACAATCCATATAAATTTCAATTGGTATAAATAACTTTGAAATGGTTACACCCAGTGATGGGTTTCAAACCTCTTCTGTAGGTGTGGCCTGTTTTGTGGGAGTAGCTTGCCAGCCATGTAACTGGGTGGGCCTGGCCAACTTGTAAAATGTGGTGAAACTCACTTAACAATGCTCTTGCTTTGCAACCAAAATGTTGGCTCAGAAACTCTGGCATTTGAAGCACATAAGTCTTAAAGCTGTCAAGTTACAAGACCCTTGCACCCCTAACCCTTTAGAAAAAAAAACCCAGGGGTGTTCAAACTTGACAGCTTTAAAACTCATGGACTTCAACTCCCAGAATTCCTCCTCT